TGAAACTCAAGAGACTCTCGACAAGTTACTTACTGCTCTTATTTCTATCTCGCAAACTCAAGATTAGTGTATGGGGAATGAAGAACGAACCACACTACCTAGCCATGCTATAGAGTAGGCTCTCAAAGAAATCCTAAAGAAGCCATTGAATTGCGAAAACCATAGCATTTCTCTCCTGATTGACAAAGGCAGGCTAAACAATGAATCTGTAGACATGTGTGAATCATTCAACAAGACTTTTGCAAATAGCTACCTTAAGCCAACTGTCCCATTACTCAGTATACACAACTTCCACCTCTATTCACATCAAAAAAATTAGTACTATTGAATTCAGCTGTGCTAACATTAACCAAACTATTAGTACTCTAAGAAGCTCTACGGGTTTTGCACTGATGCCATATTATCTTATTTCTAAAAAATATGGTGGTTTTGATATTCCTATATTACCGCTTAAAATTTTCACAATTAAATTAGATACTCAAAGCTACCCGGACATATGGAAAATGATATTTATTATTCCTAAACACAAATGCACCTCGAAAACAGAAGCCAACAACTACAGATCAATCAATATCACACCTATGGAATCTAGAATTATGGAGAAACTAGTCTGAGATAACATAGTCAAACATATGCCTGGCTACAATATTGTAAGTCCGAACCAACATGGATTCTTAAACTCCAGATCATGTCTTTATTTTTGTGACCAGTAGTCGTCACAGACAACTAGTACTCGTCATCTACTTTGACATTTCTAAGGCATTTGGCCGCGTCGACCATTAGCTGCTGGTACATAAGCTGACTTCCTTACGGATACGTGACACCCTATTAGGATGGATTAATTCATTCGTTAACGATATGTCCCAAATAGTTTGACTTGGGTCTGTGACTCCCAAACCTAGCCCAGTCACTTCTGGTGTGGTTCAAGGTAGCGTCATAGAGCCCCTCCTATTTACGCCTTATGTCAACGATATATATGCCTGCCCCTCACATGATAAACCAATCGTCTTTACATATGACCTCCAAGGAGTTATTCATTCGAGTTTGACGACTTACGGTACTGCCAGGATGTTTTGCGGAATAAATTAGACAAAGCGACTGCCTGGTCATCTTTATGGAATCTGCAGTTCATTCTGAACAAATGTGGTAGTATCTGCTTCAGCGAACCTTCAATCGACATAAAATTACCGCTTCAATCTGCTAACTTACCCATACACCGAAGTGCCGTTTACTTAGGCCTGAGTTACTCCAGTGACCTAACATTTTCTGAACAAGTGGTATCATAGACTCGAAGGTTTAGAATGCTTTTAGGATGCATACTCAGGAACTTTCACGACAATGAAGCAAGGCCCATTCAATACAAAACATGAGGAGGCCACTACTAGAATACTGTCCATTTACTATTAGCAGCTCTGGCATATGTGACAAGCTGTGGATGGAAAGCATCCAACGATATTTCACATCTAAAATACTTGAATGTAACTGTAAGAAAGACTACACTTCACGGTGTAAGACTCTAAACCTTGACTCACTTTGGATGAGACGACTTATAATAAATCTAATACTCTTCTATAAGGTCCCACACAAAGTATCATTCTCAGACAATAAGGACATACAATTCTCACTGTAAAGCTCTTAAAATCTATCTAGCCAATCATGTACACTGACAATAACAGCACTCAATGAATCACTCTGCGAAAACTTCTTCACATTCATGCATTCTAAAGTATGGAACAGTTTCACCACAGAAATCAGAACCTGCACTTCGGGTTATAAGCTTCAGACACTCTCTGTACAGAATATTTCATTCCACTGTTTAAACAAACAGTAGGGATGCAGGATTCATTTCTAGAACAAATCAAACGCTAGGAAACTAAAATATCTAGAGAACGCACAAAATTCACTAACTACTCTGCACAAGCCATATAGAGATTAGTTGCATAGATGTCTGAAAAGACCAAGAGAATACCAATGTATATATTTACTAGAAAGAAATGCAAAACAGATATAAATATGCATATCTGCAAACCTCAAGGTTCTATTTGCGTCCACATACCTTTTTTCCGGAGCTTTGCTGCCCACCTATTCTCTTCTGTTTATCTTGTGGTGGAAGTTGCACAGACCTACAGAAAGACTGGAGTTAGATCGAACTTGAAGCCACTTACTCTAGCAGACATTTCCAACTTTGCACAGAAATGATTGTATATAAGTGAAAAGGCTGTTTTATACTACTGGGATTAACATTTATCAAGTGTATATTATACATACATGTAAGGCATATCTTGCTCCTCCCTGTAAATTGTGATTGAATTATATGGTTCTATTTCTGTAACAATTTGATGATGCCTGTAAAATGGCATCCCTCATGTACTGTACTATGAGAATAAATTTATTTATTTATTTATATGCAATACATCATCCTCAAAGCTATTGCCTCGCAATAACTCAACATCCTTAAAAACTCCCGCGTCATCGTATGAGGACGCTGAATAGCATTATGTACGAGCAGTACTCATGACCTAAAATGAAGATGCAATTGGTTTACATATAGTTTTCTAAATCTTAATCTGCTCACTCTCACAGAGCAACATGCAGCTAGAAATTGCAGTAATGGATGAACTTGGTGCAGCAAAGTGAATCTCCTTGGCTTCAGCCGATATTCATCCTCATGGAGTAAAATTCACTTCTGACGTTACCCTATGGTGACAATACTGAGAAAGTCCTACAAATATATTACTCATTTTAAATTAACACCATCTGACAGCAAATCAAGAATAAGATTCGATGCCGTACACAACAAAGTTATATAGGGGAACTGACTGAAAGCTTTATTTTTTCCCAGGCATTTGTGATCCGCCCAACAAATAATTGGGTTATCTTTTTAATGCGAAGACAATATACCTATTTTTCTGAATGCGCTTCATCGAATGACTAGGTAACGCATTGTTCCCACAGACTGAAATCAGACAGAACAGCAACCATGTAAATTCACCATAAACCAAATTTATGTAATTTAAATAATACTTATCCATGCCTGTGTACATTATTAGGAATGAATATGTATTATTATATCTGGGGAAATAAAGTCGAACTTTAACCCGGTGGCCGTTTTACATTGTTCGATTTGCAACATGCTTTTGATGTGTCTTGGGTCACAGCGATTGTGCTATGAAAATTGAGTTCCACTAGGAGAGGTAGCCAGAAACATAATTTTTATACATACAGTGTTACCTCTAGTACAGTTTTCGGTTCCGAGTAATTTTGGTGTGAGGTATCCCTGTTCTATTACTTTCAGTCTATGCATTGTGGGTGGCTACCAAATATGAATGAGCAGTAATCAGGGAGTGGTAATATACAGGTTACAACTGATAAGATTATGGACAATAAACCCTGTTCGAAATATCATCCAGTGAATTTTACGGTACGACTGTGGAGGTCTTCGCGGACACTGGGAAAAAGGAGGAAATTCCCGTTTGAAAATGGAAAGAGTGGAGAAAATTTGGTGATTCTCTCGTTGAAGACATCTGAAAGGTGAGTAAATAAGTTGAATATATCTGGTCAAATTGTGGAGAAATGAAAGGGAGAGAGATGTAAAAACTTTGGCAAACTTGGGAAAGAAGATAAAGGGTGGGTGTCAGCATGGTATCAGGAAAAGTTTTCTAATGCAGAAAACAACCATCACGAATTCGAAATAATATTTTACGTATATAATAACAGACTCGATTTCAGCCCAAGCGATACTGAAAGATGAGCGGTAAGTCGAAGATCTAACCAGGCATAAATCAATGTAGCAGCTTAGTTACCCAGAAGCTTGACCATGTGATCACAACTGGTAACTATCAATAGACTGAAATAGCCTACAATTTGCGGCAGTATAATATACACTAATACTTCTGATCGTATTGCTCCAGTCTTCTGTCAACGAGCGAACGTCAAAGCCTCCAACGAACAGGAAAATTGCTCGAACAAACACATTCATTGGGAGTCCACTCAGTTTTCACTATCTTTGACAACAGGAGCTATGATTTCTTTGAATTACTGATACTTCATAGTAGAGGGCATATTTAGGTCTGAGATCTAATGTACTGTGTTCACACCATGTTTTAATCAGAACATTTAGTACTTTGCCAGGCTAGCGTAGTACTCCTCCTGCTCTGTTTTTTAGTGCTTTAGGGAGAGAACTTATTTCATTTTGGTGGATCGCGGTTTGATGTTGATAGAAAAGTTTCTGCATTTATGTTGTCTATTTCAATACTGATATACTGAACCAGTGAATTCTGTGTTGCCATCAAATTATATTAGAATTCAGCATTGGGTCAAACTTTTAACGGAATAATCACTCCAATCTAATGATTGTTCCCAGAAAATCAGTGACATAGAGATTTACTAACTGATGTGATAGGATCCCGCATAAAATAGCGTGTCATCATTTCCCGCGCATACCGTGATTGATCAATTATTTCAAACAGTGTTAGCCGTCTTTATTGTCGTAAAATGTAAAAATACCATGTGTTGTTTTCGTAATAGTTGTTCTAACAATATACAGTGCCATGCAGCATCTTACAGTCACAGACCAGCCTTTGTCTGTTGATGTTTGCGGGTGTCAGTGAATCGGAAGCAGGTGCAGAAACAGAAAAGTGACTACGGTTCTCATTCAGTTCACTGCAGTTGTAAAATGATGTCATAAAACAGATTTCAGAAAACCTACCCCGCTGAAAATAATTGTGAATCGCCTGCTAGAGAGTGTTATCATCCGCGCCTGTAGTTGCGTATTAAACCACCTTGATTCTTCAGCACAATACACGTTCAGTGATTTAGTGTAATCTAAGGCACCTGAGTGGCGGGACACACTACACAGAGGTTCACCGAAGACAAAGAACTCTTAACTAATACCTGCGAAGTGACCACAAAGAAATCAATTCGGTTTACACTAGCTCGCAGATGAGATATTGGATATTGGAAGAATTGTTTTAATGAATCCGAGATACTACACAGTATGTGACCCGTACAAATTCATGCGTTACGAGGACTTGAGATGCTATGTAAGAGTTCATAGTCATTTTGTGTATGACAACAGGAATTTTATAGGTGCACGATCGGCATGCTTTAAATGTGGGCCATGCAGACCAAAGTGGATGAAAATGGTTGATAATCTTTATTCTGGGAATCTTCAGGTTTGCTATTATTTATTGATGACGTAAAATTAAAGGACACTAATAATCATAATAAGCTTATCCACTATTGCCTACATCAACCAGATAAACTGGATCGGATTGCTAGATACCTACATTTAAGGTTGGCTCAAGATCTTAATCGACGTTATGACCAGTAAGTATTTTAAACACTAATAACAGTCCAGGAACATAACAATATCTGTCAAAGCTATCGACAAGTTGATACAAGTTTGTCATGGACACAGGCTGGTTCTAGCCTTTAGCTTTCTAAAGATGATACAACTCCTGTTAGAGACGAACAGAACAGACCTCCAAATAATGGCATCTAAGTCAGTATGTTATAATCAATATAATAATAATAAAATTGAAGTTCGTGGAGTTTTCCAAAATTGATGATGATGCTCCTAACTATCACAAAGAATGCAACGAGATTTTAGATCACTTCGCTTCCATGGCGCACTCATCACTTAGCAACCTTAAAGAACGCAATGCGTAGGTTGCTCTTACCTTCTACTTACTTTGTTACAGAGTCAGAATGGCAGGTATACATGGAATCCAAGGAGTAGTTAGAAAAATGGTTAGTGATCAACTGCTGTTGGAGGTCCATGAATCAAATATGGATAAAATTATCCCCCCACTTCTGTTTAATATGTGCGAAAAGTAAGATCATTAATGTTTTTGCCTTTATTCATATTTAGTTCGTTATGTACTTTCTGCTCTATTTTAATTTGTTTTTCGTTTGTGCTGGTGACATACTAGTAGGCGATTTGTTCATTTGAGGAGAATTTTGTGCTTGTGTTATGTACATACTGGGTCACTACCCACTTTTAATATTTACCACAGAAGTTGATTTCTATCAATAAGTACCTCTAATACTGTACTTATTCTTAAAGTAAAATACTTGGTTAGCATTGTTCGTTCTGATGGTCGGAATTTACGATGTGCTGTAACTCGAAGACGAATAAAAGTTTGCATCTCGTGTTTTCACTCTATCCGTTCATTTCTTGCAATGATAAATGTAGAAGCTAGAACGAATAGAGCGCCTGTGCTGTGTGTGTATGTGCATACCTATACAAGCAGTTTGACTTTACAATCTTATTGATATTCATTTCCTCAGATGATGCATGAGTTTTTAATAGATCCATTAGAAGCTTCCACTGATTTCTTTTATGGAGTCTGTTTTTCAGTAACATTTCAAATCCAGTGCATTATAACTCGAACATTCGTATGCTTTAAAAAAACTTAATTCGGTTGTTTTTAAAGGCATCAAGGAAAGACGCAGTAACGAATTCTCTTTTACTGAAGTTTGATGAGAATATTTTGCGTTTATTTTCATTTACTCTCTAACGTGTATGGGATCTTTATGGCGCAGCAAGTAAAAAATTCTGATCGGAAAGTCTAGTATTTAATTATATCATCATGTATTAGAGGTGAGCTACCGCTGCTGTTCAGAGACGTAGTGCTCAAATCATCTACTTCAGTCTTGAAAAAGGAGATCGAAATATTAAAAATAAGGAACGGTGTTATAACCGAGGCGTATAAATACTTGTGAGCATGAATATCCTAAAGAATGAACAGTATTTATTCTTAACACCTAATTCTACCTTGGTGATTGTATTATCCGTAGTCCTCACTGTCAGGATAGTTACAAGTTCCTAGCTTAGGTAATTTCATAAATCTTTTGCATATCACCGCCACTAATTAAGAAATTCACCGAACAGATGAAATAAGCGGTGTTTGTATTTGATGTGAATAAATTCCCTATATCACTTGTACTATTTAATATCGAAACTTATTATAGTTTTTAGCAGACTCAATCAGCCATATTGCTTATGTACGTACATATCTTGACTTAGCACAATTCTTTGCAAGTTTCGTAAAGATATTTCGAAACGTATAGTATTTATTCCAATTCTTTTGTATTTATTCCGGAATAAAAACTCACGATTTCTCTGAAGGCTATTTATAATACATTCAGTTGACCAAATTTCTCCAGGTAGCTGTAACTCTCTCTCTATATATATGCATATACATATATATGAAGAATTACCACATTGGTTTAATAAACCATAGCTTTTTTAATCATTAAATTGTATTTGGTTGCTTTTGTCTGTATTTCTTAATCAAGTTCACCTGATTAAAACTGGATTCATATTTGATTTTATGAATATAAAATTACCTATCACATTGGGTATGCAATTGTGTACGCAGTCTATCAATCTAAGCTGTTTCATTTCCACATGTTTAACTCTGCGCATATATATATATATATACATACGGGAAATCCGTGAATCATAAGGCAAATTCATGTTACTTGTTCAGCTAGGTCACCTGGTTACTTCATATCCCAAATGAAAATAATATATCTAGTGAAAAGGTTGATGTTTCCGATGCGGTCTTATGCTCTGTGTCTAAAATATTTTACTACTGCGCTTGTAGTATGACAGTTTTGTCACGCGAAACTGTCTACCGAAATCCTTAGATTAGATACACAGCCAGAGTACTCTAGAATTGTATTCATCAGACCATTTGGTGAATTGTTGCCACTTAATCCCTTATATTAGCGTATTTTTAGTTATTGTATCAATAAGTTTCATTTTATTTCACATTAGTTGATTCGTCCACAAGGTAATTGATAAAAAGACGTATTTGTACTCCGTTTCATTTCATTTGACTCCGAGCCTTGACAAAAGTTATACACTCCTGGTATTCTTTTATTGGGAATAAAAATTTTCCCATTCTTAGACATACACTGTCGGCCTTATTTTATTTTACATGAACATAAATGATATATAATGTGTGAAAGCCACCAATATCATCTGGTTAAGTAGTTTGTATTCTCTGCGTACACTTAATGGCTTTTAGTTTCGAATTTTCAAATCAATACACGAAAAACAATTTTTCCTAAACTACTCTTTAATAGATCTTACTAGCAACTGTAGTAAGTCTAGATTTTGTTTATGAGCATAACAGATATTTGGGCAAACTGTATTAGCAGAGTAAATAATTAAAAAATGTTTATGACTTAGTTTTCTTGTCAGTTGACCTCTAAAATCAAACACCAATACTTAGTTCACAGTTGATACATGTGAGAATCACTTTTAACGCGCGAGTGTATCCAAGCAGTCAAGCTCCTAGCCTCACCACTGACAGGGGTGTGGAGAATAGACTTCTTTCAGCTTGCTGATACATCTTGCTGGTAATTACAGGCCTACGGGTTTTTATTGCTTGAATCCGTAAGGATAATACAAAAGGCAAGCATTTTTATCGCAAAGTAGTGTCTTATAGTCATTCGCCACATGTAGTAGCTCACATTACAAATATATGAATCGATTCATTGTGTCCTGGTTTTATAATTTCCGTTCTATTTATGCTCATTTATACCGACCCAGTTAGTTGTTTGTTACAGTTGCAGAAGTAATTTATATCAGAGTTTCCCACTTTGCTGTGCGTTTTCACAATATGTGAGGAAAAATTGTGGTGTGCTTCATAGCCTTGAGTATCTGCTTCTAATCAATTCATCCCTCTCCATCTAATTCAACACCATTTGGGTAAACTCGTACGCAAAACACATGTTCTGGATATTATCTGATTCGGATTCTTTGTCATAAAAGGTATTTTTTTGTTATATGGGCAGGTTTTGTGAGTGTGAGGTGTTCATAACATAATCAGCATAAATATAGTAGAATTACCTTCATTGATTCATATCTAAGCTTTTGCAAATGAAATTTGAAACAGTGGGGAAGAAATAATGGAGAAGATTTCTGGCTCAGGTGGATGTTTTTATTGCTGTGTCCTCTAAGCTGAAAGGTTTACTCGCAAAGCCTTCATCGTCCTTCCTCACGTCTTCAGCGCTGAATTCAAATTGAATTCATTTGATGTATCTGTGCTTCTAATCATAGATTATCTTTGCTTTAAAAAAGTTCTATTTGTACACCTCAGTAATCTTTTCGGCCTTAGTGATAACGGCGAATAGCTTAAATGTGACCATTATTATCTATTTTGCATACTTTTGTAATTAGTTCATCAGCCATGTTATAATTATTCACCAACTGAGATAGCTGTAACATGTAATACGCATACTAATTCAGTTGAAAGAAAGAAAAGAGTGGGGAAAAATAAAGGAGGCCTTCAACCCATGGATTTATTCTCTCTGAAGGCGACAAGAATACCTGTTAACCTATGCAAAGCTACATATATATTAAAGTTATGCATGACGTATTAGTCGTGCTTTACAAGAATACTGGCAAGTCAAAACGTGTGGGTTGGAAATCAGACAAGGTCACCTCCTTGGGCAAATGTGCAATAAAATTGAGTAAAATGTGACACTGAGCACTCCCGGTGAATACCATTAGTCTCATTTACTTCAGAACGAAATGACTTGTACTTTTTACATATCTGTGTGAATTAGGGTAAATTGTTTTTTCTTCACAACGAGACACTGTCACAACAGTCCCCGGCGGACAGTCAAATTTAGAAGCATGGCACTAGTCGACACCGTTATTTCTATGTCTTCTTGAATCCGCTCAAGGATGAGAACTTAATCAATATGTTGTGTCATCAGCTGAAGACATGAGTTTCCCCAGGTTTGTTTTACTTCAACTGTACTGAGTTTTCGTTTAACAACGGCACCCAGGACCTTATGACATTTGATCAAAGTAATTACTGTGTGGTTGTCACGGGAAGATTTGTTGTCCTTACAAAACAAAATGTCTAACTATTTTCGTCAGCCTGATAGGAATGTCTCAGATATCTATACATTAGCTAGTTCCTTAATTATTATACAACAGTTTCCAATATTTTTGGGGCCATACCGTCACATACTTCTGATTTGACTCGTTTCAGCGGGAGTTAACGGACCGATATTTACTATGTGCTGAAGCTGGCGTCGCATGATGAGAAGCCTTATTTTATCTTTAGTCTATTCGAACTACTTTTGAGTGTATTCTGTTAAATCTACAGGTTGTGTCTCTTCGCCAGTTATCAGAGTTCCATCCTCTTTGGAGATTGTTCCATACCCCAAAACCTTCCTAGAGCTTAATGTAAGTAATGTGATTCACTTCTGAGTTAAGAAACGAACAAGGTGAGGTGGTCGTGCTAGACCGTAAAATAAAACGAAAACAAGATGGTGGGTTAGATACTGGCATACATAGGAAAACGATACACTAATAAATACTTAGACTATAATTCATCCCATCTAGAATCGGTAAAGATGGGTTTGGTTTAGTCGGGCCAGGAGCCTAACTAGTAAATCAGAATTAACTAGTGAAATCAAATAAATAAAGAAAATATTAATAGTAAATAACTATCCACCAGAATTTTTTCTGAATTATATGAAGAACCACAGAAAAAGATTAGTAATGAAAATGGCAAAAAATATAGAATTCAAAGCGTCTGTAGTACTGCCGTATAGAGAAGGAATATCAGAGGCCTTATGTAGGATTCTCAATGAGGCTGGAATTACGGTGGGATTCACAACAACCAACCGACCAACCAACTCTCTCAGAGATAAACTTTGTCGTCTTAAGGACCCCCCAACAGATCCAATTAAGAAAAATAATATAATAAACCAAATACCATTCTGCAATATCTGTGAAGTCAATTGCATATGGCAGTCAAACTAGTAGATTGGGATCCATTAGATTAGGAGAACATAAAAATTTAGATACACCTAGAACGATTGACCCTGCTAAGTTAAATAACCTAGAGAAAAGCTCAGCCATTGCACTGCATTCACTTGGATGTAATCACAAAATAGAGTGGGACAGAGTGAGAGTAATAAAAAGTAACATAGGTGGAGAGAGAGGTTGGTCACTGAATCTTTGTTTATCGACTCAAGACAGCGCACGTGCAATCTGAATGACGCAACGCGTATACCGGTGCCATGAAAATTGGCAACAAACAACAGGGAGAAAAGATGCAGAGAGAAAGAGAGAAAATATATAAGATAAATTGGGAAACCATGTGACTAAACGGATATGATTGTGAACAATAGTTTATGCTCGAAACGTCATCCAGTTTATTACTGCATTGCTGTGATATCGGAAATAAACTTACGTAATGTGGGATTTCCTAATGCTTGTCGGTCTGTTATATACATAATTGACTGCTATAACATGGTACTGAAAACTTATCGGTTTCTGTTTTAGGTTTTCTACTTTTGTCTCTCCCCCACCATCATTTTTGCTCACTGCGTAGACATTTAGTCAACTCACACTTTAGCAACTTAATCATTCCGTCATATTCTTAGCTTGTGGGTACCAGGCATCTTATATTAATCAGTTCACATTAGGCTTCAGGGGTCCATTGCCTTTTGCTAACCTTCAAATACAGGTTAACTATCTTGGACACTGTTTTTTAATCAGACTGGATATAATATTCGACATTTTTAAGATATTGGTTCCATCACCACAGCCATGATTTTTTTGTCGACAAGCTAATTACGTAGTTGTTCCTCAGTAACTTGTTTTTTACCTGTTCGCTGTCAATCTGATTCTAACTTCAGCAGGTAAGATCATGTTTGCTCTTAGGTTTGAAGTGTGTGCTGACTAGAAACATGTGATTATTATAATGAAGTCGTATGAGACTACCTACCATCTTCATCATTTTGTTGGTATGACACACTGTGGATACGCTCAACATGTTTTACGACTTCAGATTCCTTACCTAAGCATTTAAATTATCTCTGAATATATCTACATGTAAGCATTTTGTTGAAGCGAACTGAGGTAGTCTTAATTTGAAAAATTTATGTTTATGTAACGTGTTTATAAGTCAAGTTGGGACGAAAACTTTAGATTGCAAGGAGGTTCAAACTCGTGGTTCCAGATTACTGGCTTTGCTTTGTATATAACTAATTTATGAGACCTGGCTGCAGACTAGCTCCTCAGTCATGTAGGACTTCACTTAGCTGCCATAAACATATGCCACAGTTAACTAACCGTTCAACATTATTGCAGTAGCTACACAACTAGATGTCATCTCGATTACTCATGTTAAACTCAGCACAGTTCAACTGGGGTTGAAAAGGAAGTAGTTGGATATTTAGTATGATGATGATTACCCGAAGACTATATATTAAACACGTACATGACAGATGATTAAATTCTTGTTAATCAAAGTGGAATTACGAAGTGTCCAACGACTGAAATTCATTTGTGTAAGGACATTTTCCTGTTAGTTCGACAGTTGCTGGTTTCAATCTTTCTATAACTTTATTGCATTAAACGTGCTAATTGTTCTTCTAGTTCAGCGTAGTACTATATATTAGGTGATATTGATGTCAGTGTTGTTGAGTAGTAGTTAACTTTAACCCTGTCACCACAATTAATGCAATATTATTACTATATTATGAATAGATCGTGATAATTTTATGTAATTAGTTTCATGACCGAGTGGTGATTTACTTCTCTTCGCATATTGTCAGCAGAACTATAGCATATAATTACATTTTTCGGGATAGCTGCCAATCTTAGCAAATGTTCAATGGATGCTCAGTGTTTTGTATAGTCCTACACAAAACACGATTATATCATAGGTTGTATCTTATTTTCCCTCTGTGTTCTGAGTGAAACTCAGGGCTTCAAACATAAGATTTGAGGTTTCATTAGTAATATAATAATAATAATAGCTTTATTCCAAACAGTATTTGTGGTACAGGTATGGAATTTTCAGCGTGCATTACAATATTGCATCTAATTACCTCATTTTATAAGATTTTAAAAATAAAAAGCAACAACAACAAGAAGAAAAATAAAAGAAATAAAAAAGAACAGCATTGCATTCACATTTTAAACAATACACCACAGGATATGAAATATAAAATTAGTGTGTAATAGAATATGTGAGCAACAATATAATAATAGAGCATTTTTTCGGAGTGGGGTTCCTAGCATCACACTCAACCTTCCCTTTTTTCCAGGCTAGCTTCCGTCTAGTTGAGGTTTAGGAGTGCGTTCGCCGGGAATCGAATCTAGCGTGATAATAATAATAATAATAATAGGCAATGTTTTATGTACTTTGATTTTCACTAAAGGGAAAAATAACATGTTCCATTTAATTATTATTTTTTTCTAAAGGCCTGAAATGGATTCCGATTCAGTTGAATCACAGTGTGATCCTTCACAAGAAGCTGTGTATGTCTTTGAAGATATTGTCCGTCAAGCTTCCTACACAAATATCAAACCGGTAGTGACTTCAATATTGACGTGAGTAATTGTATCTGAATGTATGTATGTGTGTGTGTGTGTGTGTGTAAATTTCCACAATCACTCTTTTTTAACATGCCATTTCTAATGTGCTTACGATGATTTAGAATACAAATGTACAATCTCTTGGCTTCTTTTAATTGTCAGTGGTTTTTATTCTTTATTTCATACTCATAAAACTTTTGAATAGGAAGTTCAGCTTTAGGCATACATAATAAGTGTGGTAGTCTAATATAACAGTTCGATACACATTAACTCTTGACTGCTAGTACTAGCAGCATGAAGATTATTGACAGTTTGTATTTGTCTCACCAACTAACAGTTAAAAGTTGTTTGAAAGTAAACAAATTACTCATGGTTTTTCTTCGACTCACTCACTAATCCAGTGAACTAGATATGCATTCGATCTAGTCTATTACACACTCACTTAGCAGACAACTGTTTGAAAAGTTGCGTATCAAAGTCTTAAGTACATTTCGATGCATCTTGATTTTTTTTTACATAAGATACTATTGTAGTCGGATAAACTGTTCAACGTCATCGTTTCAAACAGAATGGCAAGTGTTTGTTTATAAAATAAAACACAAGTTCCCTTGTGATCGAAAACACGGTTTGGAATGTACGAAATTGGGGACTTTATTTAATTACTTTAAAATACCTTAAGTTTTGAACTTACTGTCTTGCAGTGTAGTAGGGCATAGACTCTGACCCGTGGTGTATAAGATAACTTGATTTCTTTATGAAATACGCTGTATATGATGAAAATGAGGTCCGTCGATCCTAATTTACGCAAGAATCAGCGTAGAATAATTTCACACTGGTTTACATCAGTTCGCTTTTGAAAGACATACAAAGAAGAGAGAACAAAAATGAAATTATGCAACGGTGAACAGTGATGTGTGTGGGATAAAGAATAATACAACAAATGGGATGAATACAATGTGATAATTTGGGGACAACTCTCAGCCGTTTTGCAATTTCTGTAATCATTCATTCTTGGCATCTAGAGAACCCTACACACCTACCTACCTACCTACCTATGTGACTCAAACCAGCAGTCAATGAGTTGATAAACTGATGTCATATCGTGGCATGTTCAAACCTAATTTCTCTTCAACGCGACCCAACTTCAACTAGTATTGTTTGTTGGAAAGGGTAGTGACTCGAAACTTGTAACATTTTCCAGCCACTTCAATTTACAAAGAATTGCTGTTTAACTATGGGTAGTAGATTAAGTGTTTTCGGGATGGGCGAACAGCCTCTAACCATTGAAGCAGTAAATAATAGTCGTCTGGTTTTGTAACTTAGATAAGCCTGTAACAAACAAGGCAGTTAGCATTCAAAGAAAACAACAATAAAGATTACCGGCAAACGGAATGTTGACAACTAAATTTAATGCTCATACACATGGGATAAATGATACAGCCAAGATTCTGTCTTTTCTCATTTCACTATAACAAAATAATCATATTACAATATTATCTGCACGTTTAATCTGATTATTTCATTTTGTAGTATAACTTGCATAACTTAATTCGTGTAGAGAGTCATATACACCAAATCAAATTTGTTGAACTGCCTAGATCCCTTGCAATAGCAGTCCTGTAAATTGTTGTTTGTTTAATAGATATATATATATTTTCAAGTGTTGGTTTGTAGGGATTTGATTGGTTACAGGATTTCATCATGAGCTGACATTAGTTAGAGAACCATTGGAAAACCTGGGAGTACTGGACAGCTGTTTCGTCCTAGTCTGGGACTCTTCAGCAGTACGCACCCACCGGGATTCGAACCCAGGACCTTCTGGTTACAAGGCGAGCTCGTAGAGCATTAAGCCACTGGGACCCGATCCAATGGCCCTTGAATTCTAACTTCTGCCAATTCACGACATAGCGCGACCCCTAGCCAATGTCTTCGGCGAGTATTTGTCCTCACACCCGACCTGCTGCACCCTACTAGTCACGACTTCTCACTAGAACCCCAGGTGACTACCTACCTGAATAGGGCAAGTCGCTAGTGAGCACCTCATTGATTGGTTTGTAGGGATTTGATTGGTTACAGGATTTCATCATGAGCTGACATTAGTTAGAGAACCATATATATGTATATATATAAGTTATTAGAGAGCATACTCGTTAACATGATTGGATGATTTTATGATGTGCAGTATTCAAGTCTTAATTCGTTGACTAAATTTCTATGATCGATGAAACATGGCAATATAATCATTGAACTAAATGACATGATATGTGAGGGGAGGGCGTTCGGGTTGCAGTACAACGACGTTACAGTAGACAGATATATACGACTTATGGACAGTGACTTTGCATAGGAGAATACCTTTAATTGGAAGTTTAGGGCTACCCAGATTTTATTCATCATCATTCCCTTGCAACATCAATTTATTGACTTAGTCCTTACACAGTCTTATCAGCATAAAAAATAAACATCAGATATTCGTTAGACTTCTGAAAAACTTTCTGGAAAAAATGAGAAGTCTGTCTTATATTTGATTTGTCGTGAAGTTTTATGGGATTAAGCAACAACAATTGCTCACTAGCCCCCAGTGAAATAAACGAATCACCTGAGACTTACAATATCTGTTAGAGGACCTAGGCGCCATTACACATGACTTCACTATGTATGAGATCAACTGAGACCCCTCAAGATGAAAAGGATATGCCCAGGTTTAAGTGTACCTGTGTGTGTGTGTGTGTGTGTGTGCGTTTGTCAGGTGTCATAAGAAGCCTGTAGAACAAGTGATCAAATCAAATGATGATAACAGCATTTGGAAAAATATACTTATGTTTGTTGTATTTTTGGTCATCTTCCTTCACATATTTTGTTTGGTTTTCCCTAAATATCCTGTTTCTCATGAAATTGTAAAATATGTACAAAATTAATTAATTAGTTAGTTAATCTAACTCAGCCAACCGGTATGAATTTATGTAACTGAAAACGTCGCATCATAAATACAAAAAAAAGAAAGACATCAAATCTCTACTTGATAATTAGCCTGATGCACACTGGTGACTGGCTCTGTACAGGAAGTTATCTGGAGTTCTAGTGAGAAGTCATGACTAACAGGGTTCACCAGGTCAGGTAAGAGAACAGCTACCGGCCTATGACATTGACTGTTGGTTGCGCCACATGCATATCTCGAATTGGCTATTGGGTCGGATCCCAGTGGCTGAATGATCTACAACCTCTCCTCGTAACCTAAAGATCGTGAGTTCAAACCCCGGGTATGTGTGTGTGCGCTGATGAGGAGTCTAAAAAGAGGACAAAACAAGTGTCCACTGCTTCCTGGTTTTCCAATGGTTCTCTAATTGATGTCTAACCTGTAATCAATCAAATCCCTGCAAATGAAGACTTGATCACAAATAGTTTTCTTGTCATTACTATATTCAAGTTCATAATTTATATTCTTTTTTTTCACAAAAATTTACATTATTGAGTATCTTTAATTTGATCCTTGTACTTTAAAAAATTCAATTATTTAATACGATGGTACATAATTACATATAATTGACTCATATTCAATACATCCTTAAACTTTTTTTTTTATAGTTTCGTTTGTAAGGGTTAGTTATGTTTTTACGAGTTGATCACGGATTGATATCAGTTAGAGAACCGTAGAAAACCAGGGAGTACTGCACAGCTGCTGTTTCATCCTAGTTTGGGAATCATCGGCAGTACGTACCCACTGGGATTCCGATGATTCCCAAACTAGGATGAAACAGCTATCCAGTACTCCCTGGTTTTTTATGGTTCTCTAACTGACATCAATCCGTGATTAACTCGTAAAAACATCCCTAAACTGCCTAAATTTATTAGAAGCTAGTTAGAAATTTAAGTTGACCAGGAGAAATGTATACTTTACACTTAACATATAACATCCAAACGTATTAACTAACTTCCAAAGTCGGAAATAGGTCAGTAATTTCTGTAGAATAATTTTAACTTATCAAAAGAAGAAAAATTAGACTTAAAAATCTTCTATAAAAAGCCCTAAACAATCATAATCTATGTTGTACAAATTAGTTCAACACGATGATCATGCAATGGTAAGTAATTTATGAAAAGTACGAATTCATTTCAGTATGTGACAGACGCATAAATCTCATTTTGTCTAAAGAATCTTGAACAATATAATTTTGTATTAAAGGTAGGTGTACAGTATTTTGGATATTGTAAGGAAAAACTCTTCACTGTTAAATGCCAAAGATTCAATTATCTTAAAGTTGTGAAAGATTCATGCGACTATGAGGCGAAGGATGACCGTTGCTGTAAAAACTCCTAATATAACTACTGTCTATCACACAAGATTACTTCGAATGTGTTATTTATTATTGCAATCACCAATAATTAAACTGAAGTACAACATTAATATGGTTGCGAATAATAGTAATTCTTATAATGTTACTTAGAAGGTAGGAAGTCACTTGTGACAGACCAGGTGATAGCTGCCGTAAGCCGTCGTCTTCTTGTTTGCAAGGTGTTGGCGCTAACACTTTGTGAAGAGAGGTCTTATCTGTCCAAGCAGCATTGTCGCACTAGTTGCTTATGTACAAAAATCTTACAGGAAAGTGCTGTAAGATGAAGTTAAAAAAAGTCATCAACCAAAAATCTAACGCAATATATGCCCGATTCTAAACATTTGACATAAACTTGAATAATAACGTCAAACCAGAAGTTGACTAGTCGTTACGATACGTCACCATGGTAACTAACACATAGACAACAAACACAGTTCTGATTTGATGGAGAGTTCACACGTAACAAATTATTAAGACACAACATAGTGACTGATTGCTTGACGTACAAGCTATCAAATTTCTAAGGTTGCTGTTAATGCAACTGGAAAACTAATTAGTGATATGTACTATGGCAACTGAACGCGTTGCCATGCTCTTGGCAAAGCAACCACCTTTTATCACATTCTTGGCATGAGCTTAATTCAAGAATTCAGTAATTGGTAGGCCGACCATAGCATAGCATTTATAACAGTCAAGGTTGAATTGAAAAGTAAAGAAGAGATTTTTGAACAGTATTATTAAAAATATTATTAAAAAGGAGTTTATCTGAAAATTTGATGTATTTACGGAATATATTCCGACCAGTCTAACCACATATTTCTTTTTCGCTTCAGTTTATATGAAAAATGAAATGAGCAATATACTAAGGGATTTAAGATTAAGAACGATAGTAACTGACAATGCTCTTGGTAATATAATCATATTAAGATTACTATAGTGACAATGTTCCGTGTCTAACCTCAATATTACTGACCATATTACACCACTTAATATGGTAGATAGAACGCAAACATCTGTTTTCAAAGACAGCTAGCCTCTTCAGCGGCCATGTCTACCGTCCACAAAGTAGGATGGAGCGAACTGGTAAGCAGTACACATGCCCTTTGGTCGACAGTCGGATATCAGGTTTACTAAGCCAGAGATGGCGTAAGCTGGCGAGCATATACTAAACGAGTCTTCTGTATCCATGCTGAGATTTTCAACAGGTTAATTCCCGAGTCGCTTAAGTCAGCTAGGCTCAATTCCATTACTACGACTGTGACAAAATTATACAAAATTGGAGGTAGTAGGTATGCTTGACTAACAGCAGTGGTCGTCGTCATTTGGGATGACAACTCTCCATGCGCTCTTGCACCACTGCATGAGTTCGAGTAGAGTGCCTTTATTAGCGCAACATACCTTCATGGCCAAACATTGCCACAGCACCTCCCCGTCGCCACAGTCGAATACCACCTTCAGGCCAAAAATGACAGCAACTCTTGGACGCTGGTTAGCATGCCTCTATTTTAGAATCTGTCGAAGGGTGGAGGTATGATCAATAGGCCTTTTCCTGCCCTGAACCCTGTCTGGTTTTCTCGACTTTGTTTCCTTTGAGCACCACTTAATCTGTGCATAGTTATTGAACCTATAGCTCTAAATGCCATGTTAGTCAAGCTTATCCTTCTTATTAATATATGTGTAAAACTTTCTTCCATAAAGAGGCACTTAGTGTTCTGATCAAGTTGGGGGAGGGTATTGGCTTCATAGCTGTCTGTTTCTCGTTCAATTGTTGGCATATAAGTACATAAACAAGGGTGTTACTGTGTTCAGACGGGGGTGACATTCTTCTATGGACCATCTCCATATCCAGTTTATCGCCAAGTGATTTGTTTGAGTCCACTGTTGTTTTGATGATGGAAGCCTCCAGGTTAGACATTATCTCTCTTTGTGCTTACGAGGAACAAGTGATTATCCTAACAGGACTGTAAAAGATGATCACTGTTGTTGCTGTGTCTGCATGGAACTCCGCCGCAGATATACTTTTCTGACTGGAACAGTTTCCCTACTTAGGCATTAGAGTCGCCTGCTAGAACGACTATATCTGAGCGTTTTGCTTTTCGCAGCAAACTAGACCGCTTCGATAAAAGTCATTCTTTACTTTTTCCGAACTGCACTCCGTTTTGGGCCCAAGCGTGGATTATGAAAATACATCGAGAGCGTCTCAATGGTTCCTTCTAACGGTTCCGTTCAGCCCGAAATCACACATGCGGCTATGCATTGGGATTCACTCAAGTAGGTATTTTTCCATCATACTATTCAACGCTATCCCCACACCTGCAAGTCCTCGTGGATTATTCAAAAATCTCCTGACGCTCTAAAGTGAATTTTTGAGATTTACCCTATTGGCCAGATGGGGTTAAACGAATAACCAGACTTGGGTCTTGTATAAGTGTCTCTGAAACACAACATACATCCATGGCTCAAAATGCTTGGGTTCTGGCTAGTGAAGCCTGTTATCCGATTTGACAAAGGGTCCCAACTTCAAATACTGCAATATGAAGTCTACAGCGTGGCTTGAAGAGATTACCGACAGTGGTTTTCTCGTTCTCGTCACTGTCAGCGGTTACAGAATTAGGAGAAGATGAGGGACTTACCTGCGGGATAGTATTAACGAAAGAAGGGAAACAAGACAACGATAGGTGGTCGTCAGGAAATCTTTGTGTGCTGTTGGAACTGTGTCCGTCCGAGTTTGTTTTTTCTTGGAGTATCCGGAATATAGGTAGCATTAGTGTTGCGTGACCTCAAAGCCCCGGGGGAAAGTGCTTGAGGCCAGCCACAAACGACCTGTTTGAATCATTTTTTTGGAGTTGTGCCTGTATTAAGATCTTGCAGCTGACTGCGGAGCGCCGCGAGGTGAGTCGGGATGTGCACTTCCTCTCTCCAGAGCGGAGAGACAACATAGCTGGCATGCTGGGTATCTGAGGGAAAATCTTGCTACTGTTACATCCCTACCCTCCTAACATTGTGTAAACAACTTGCACTATAACGGTAACTGCTTCTAGTCTAACCGTTGTCCTAACAACCTTTCTGGCATATTAGGACATGCGGGAACACTAGTTTCATCCAGTGTAACTCGTCGAGTCATTGAGATATGCAAACCACCACATGAAGGTAGCAGTTATCGATCGGGCACTCAAAAAGAGTTTGTCATAAAACTGGCAAGTTGTTTAAACACTGTGCTGTAGTTACTGGCAAATAATAAAATTTACTGCAAAACTTGTCAATATGTACAGATTTCTACAAAAGAAATTTAATCATGAATCTGTGTTCATGCTCGTACTATGCATAAATTGATACAAAACGAAGAGTTGATAAAACTAACTACTTGCAAATTTAAGGTCCATTTAGTTCAAATAAACCGGATAATAAGTTCCCGACAGAATGCTTATATAGCTCAGAACTTAAAGACCACTCCTATCTTGTCGCTACTAAATACTAGGAAAAAGGACATGGAAACTCTACATCCACCAAACATAAGTCGGGAAGATTGGAAAACTGTGTGAACATTGCAGAAGGTAACACTTCCTCAATTACAAGGCCATCAAACCAACGGATTGATAAATACATTCAGAATCTTTCTACCATTAGTCTACCTAATCTCAAGATATAAAGGTGTGTTAATGCTATGCAATAAAAGTGTATTGATTCGGTTGGAGATTCCGTGAAGTGCTTCAAGTCAATTATTAACACACTTGTTAAATTCTATAAGAGTCACATAATTGTGTATATATTCACAATTTATAGACTGTACACGTCTTTTTCTTACATGACACGTAATAAAGACCAATAACAGATTATTTAGTAATTTGTCAAGCAATGTCGAACAGGATGTACTATCGGCTTTCTCTTCTCAGTAACTTTTTCTCCTTTTCACGATGAAACAACTAACAAGTTATATATAACATAAATGGCCGATTTTTGAGTACGGTCATTGTATTGATTAACTCTCATCCACCAGTCATTCTCTTCATTGGCAATTTCTTCTTTAGTATTTGGTGAGATGAAGTGTTTTTTGAGCCTACGTTTTTGACACATTACAAGCTATAACGCATATGAATATATGGTTCATGCATAAGATCACACGTCTTGCCTTCATGATTACCTCATTTTCGAATTCAGGCGAAATTTACTCGTGGTTCTAGAGTTCTGCACATGTCATCCACAGAAGGTCCTCCATTGGTTTGGGTGTAGAGGTATCCTACACCGTCTTGTAGGTCATCATAGAAGTTATTGATAGATCCACTTGAGAGCGCAGTCTTATCTAACTGATTTTAGCTTCAAGGTACATGATGTTCATTATTTGAAAGTGTGATTGACAGATATCGAAAGTAATTCAATAGCTTGTTGGGTCTTAGTGCATGTATGTGAAAAACTAGTGCTCATACATTCCATAAAAATTGGGTACACTGTATTCCTTGTGTCCCCGTTCAGCAATATGATTGTTTGATAAACTCTTATTCGATATCATAAAAATAATAATTGTTATCTTTCACCCCGGATACCTGCGTCATATATGTATGACCGCAAAGTATTAGGTATATTCACTTTTCCTAATCATATCCATATTTAATTATCAGTCTTTTTAATGGGAATGGGAGCTGTTAAGGTGTGTGCTCGATTTTTGCGCATCCTGAAATGTTAATGTTAACTATCGACTGACTAGTTGTTATTGACCAGGTATAATTTACCATTCACAGGTGATGAAATTGTCTGGTCAGATGACTACAACGTTATTATCACTTGTTAATCTCTTGTTTTTGAGTTGTACCGCCTTCCTCGTATGTGATAATGCTTGTATGAAAACTGTACTCTACATGGTGACGCTTTATCTATTAATTCTAACTCTTATTCACAGTATCTTAAGAATACTTTCATTGGACAGTAGTTAGTAACTAGTGTAATGTATCTAGTCCTTCAAAGTCGCAGATACGCTTCGATGACGAGCGCCATCTAGTAGGAAACTGAGGTTTAAGGCATCCTACTGGTTGCTTCCAGTCATCTGATATCAATAGTTCACAGTGGCGAGACATTTAGAATGGTGGCCATATTGCAAACTTAACTGATAGAATTCACTTCGCATCAAACAAAGGACTAGACTCATGGCACTAGTTATCAATTGGTGTCCAATCAAAGTATCCAATACAGTCATACAGAAAGTCGATCTTAAACCCGAACAGCTCAGTGGTAACGTCTCTGATTGACTGCAGCACTGGGTGACATGGGTTCGAATCTTCTCCAAGGTTGCAGGCATGCCTTGCTGACGACTACCAACAAGCATGAAACCCAAGTCCTAGGCTCCCTACCGATTGCCTCCAACTATCTACAATCTTGAGAATACTTACATGAATGTAGGTCCATTTAAAGGTTCAGGAAATTGTGTTGAATGGTTCGTTTTCTGCATAAGTTATCCCTTGATAGGTGTGTTAAGTCTAATGGGTCCTATGTAATAATGCTCTATGTAGTATTGTAATTTCACATTTCTTTTCATCAATTGTTCCATCTTTTCCTTTCTTTTTCTCCTTTTTAGACATTTGGATAATCATCAATTGTGGGATCCATGTGACTTTCCTCTACTTATTTTTCAATATTTCTTAGACTCACTTAAGGTAAGAAAAATGTTAGATAGAAAAAAAGGAAATGAACACCTGTTTCTTGTTGGTAGTAATCCAACCTGATATTGATTTTTACACCTGTTTTTTCCTTTCTGCCCTGTGCCCAACAATTAGTGGCATTATACTTTGTTTATTCCGAAGACAATAGGAAGATGTTTCTCTGCAGCTCATTTTGTGAATATTCCTCCAATTGGTTACTTTGTCGCACCCCTTGGAACCGCCTTCGACGTCAGTTTGGGTGTGGTTTTCATTTCTATTGCATAAACAGGCGACTATTTAGTGAAGTGGTCCTAAAGGTGGTAGCGCTTAGAGTGAAGACACGAAAGCTCTTGCAAAGCGCGAGAGGATTCACACTATCTCACACTGAAAATGTTTAGGAATGTAGATTACTGTTTGCCTTAAACTTCTAAGTATTTACTAATAATCAGCCATTCTAAAAACAAGTAATATGGATTATTTAGTTGGTGCAACTTAGCCGGTGTGTACTAGCTTATGTTCCAAGAGTGTGTGTAAACCCTCTAACTGCTCTCATATAGCCATGCGTCCACACACTCCACGTATATTCTATTTGTGCACAATGGGATTCTCTTATGAAAATGAATGAGTGAATGCGAGCGTTCGACTTTCACCACCGAACAAGTGGACATGGACGATTCATCTAGAGAGGTTAGGAAGCGGTGATTCCAAACCTATAGTGCACATAAGCTCAAGGATTCGTAAGAAACGATCACGGACAGTCATTCAAATGCAGCTCCTGACATTTCTCCTCTGCCTTGTGGATCTGACTTCAAATTAAAGGCCTCTGTCAGCATCCTGATCCTCACATGAAATGTGAAGGGACACGTCGAACGCACCTGTACGCACTGCAAGCTACTCTACTTACAACTTCATCAATCATCTTACATCTACTATTATTGCGTTCCTGTTCTTATTCGCCTATTTGTTTAATCATCTCTACACTTAAAGTGCTTTTGAGTCGCCACTTAATTACTTCCAGAAAGCTGGTCTATAGTTAAATGCGTGACGCGGTTATTTTCGTATGACGTGTCGTTCCCTAGCCTGTAAACTACGACACTTACATTGCAGCAAATTGAGCAATAAGCTAGTTTGATTAGAACCCTGGAAGGCCTCATTGTTTATACGTTCTGCATTACACTTCCCAGCATTAAAGATACTATATAAGTACTTTGAGTAACTTCTCTACCTGACAGCTCAAACAGTACGTGTCATGGTCTCTTATCTTGGGACGCTGTGCTGTCGGCTTTCATCTTTGCTGCTGTCGGTTGGACACTTAGAGCTAGGTCCGAGGTCGCACTGCTCGGTTGAATACCATTCACATCTGTTTATGCGCAAGATTTAATTAAAGAAAGAAACCATCGGTCAGAAATGTGAGGTTTATTCGTCACCACTTATGCACAGGCGGATCGCTGTTTGAATAAAACTCCAATATAGACTGAGTGAGTTTCTCATGCAGGTGCGTTCGACAGATATCGCGGTACTAGATAAGTATTTGAATGCACAGAAAAATTCGTTCAGATGGTCATTGTGGAGTGGATGGTTGCAGGTCGGAAGATGGGGACCGTCTTCTGCAGCTTCGCTCAAGTCTAAAAACCTATTTCTCTCTAGCACCATTGTCGTGTTGCTACAAAGCGTTCTCCTGCCACTGTTGCTTCAGCTCAAATAAATCCCATAGACGGACTGTGTGGCCACAAAAGAACCACCACTCCTTCTGGAGAACTTGTGCGCTGTGGTTCTTGCCAAGTTTAACCTGTGATTTGGTAGTGATGGTAAATCTCCTAAGCAGGTAGATGTAAGTACCCTCTGCTCCAGCCAAATATTAAATTGTACTAGTTTCAAGTCTATCTAGCAACAATTCGAAGGGAATAAACGAGCATTGTTCGCACTTATAAAACTCCATAAGTTAAAGTTTGCTGTATCCTAAACGAAAATCCCACGGATAAATACTGGGTTTATGCAAGATTTTACGTGTAAAGTCACACAGTGCTAACGTTAAGGACCTTCGTGCCTGACATTCAGAACAAGCGTATGAGATGAAATCAGCAGTTGCGTTTTGCCAGTAGTTAGAAGCTATTCTACTTCATCTAAGTCATCAGCACCAATAACCTTTGTGTCAGTGTGAGTTTTTAAAAGAGTTGGTATATAGATTCACTTAAAGAAGCTCCTAAAATTATAGTTAGGGCACTTCAGAAATAGTGAAGCTGAATCAGAGACGCAATATTCACTACTATAGATTACAGTACTTCATGACTGATTGACACTGAACCACCTAAATATGTGTAGGTTAGAAAGAAACTCCAAGTAGTGAAGTGCTTCGAGATACCCTGCATCCAGAAAAGTTACCTTCATCTCTTAAAGATATTAGTCGCAGTAGTCAGGGATGTAATTGGAATGTATAGCAAATTAAGACTATCCCATTAGTATGGAATGAGACCAACATTGTGTCTGTCTTTAATAAGGCCTATCTAATGGGTATAACAGTTACCAGATTATGGGGTAGTTATCATTTACTTCGAAAATAGAAATCTGTCATGCCTCACATTTTTTGTAAAACACACGATAATTTATTCGCGAAGAGCACCCTAGCATTCCGTCATCTTAGGACAACAGCTTTGGTGGCTTAGAAATATTCTGCGAATGTAATCGCACCTGGTAACCGAACTGAATTTTTTTATTCCAATCAAATTACGCCGTAAGTTTTGAAATTATCATTCGTCTTCGAGAGCTAAATGTCTAAAGACAGCAGTTCAAGTTGTCAAACTCTATAAGGCTCACAAAGGTAGAATCTGGAATTTTAAGTCCTATGTTAGTCAATCTGATCCTTCTGTGATCATCACCTAAAGATTTGTCTCTTTCAAACCAGGACAATCGATGATTTACACCAGTCTAAGGGGACTACCTCAGATTGCTAATCATTAGCGGTTATTTTACCTAATATAGTCAGTAATCCACCCTCCCTTAAACATTCTGGACTTGTGCCATCAAGTTCTGTGTCTCGGTCACTTTTAAGGTTAGGGATAGCTTTTACAACCCCAGGTACAGATGGGAGACCGATGTCTGCATCGCATTCACCTAAGAGTTGGATACTGGACAACTTTAGCCTGTCTCCAGGTGAGTTGAATCACCACTCAAGGTGTGTTTCCCGTTGTTCTCACCGTATTTCCTAATAACTAATTAAAATACCACCCGCTTTACAATCAGTTTCCCTCATGCGACCGGTATTATCAATCTCTGATGATTTGCCTTCTCTTTCACTTTTGTTGCCCATAACTGTCCGCAATCTTTGCGAAGTCTCTTAGTTAGCGTACATCTGAGTCTTCTACGCTCCTTGTAATGTACTGGACCCTGCGTAATCAGTCTCCTTGCTTAAATCAGCTCAGATGAAAGACACGCATCTGCCAACGTTTGGTTTCAGATCACCAATAGTTTTTATCACGGTTTCTGTAGCTGACTGAGCATGATGCCAGGTTTCCTAAGGATGGGTATTGCTGTCAACCTCATGTGCACGTTTACTTGTTTCTTCTCTAAATGAAGACTCTGCATTCTCATCCGGAAGTTGGTGTGAAGCGGTTTTGTAGCTGTCCGTTTCATATGCGCGCAACAACTATTGCGTAGTTGGATGTTCCTTAAGTGGCGACAGTTTTCCACGTGACGTATTTGTGACTGTGTGTAAAAACTAGTTCGTATATGGCTACAAAGTGATTTCCGGATAACTAGGACTGCTATTTTTTTAGTCTGAAATGTTTTACTTCCGCTTTCTATCTATAAAGTTGTCCAGCTGTCAAATATATTCCTTAACGCTTGTATTTCATGATCATTATTAATCTAGTGAAATGTGAAAATGTCGTGAACATAGAAAATGCTACATATTCATTCGATTGATGTTGATTCTTAGGTAACGGTCAGTGGATAATAATTAAGTATCTAGATTGTAGATCAGCAAGCATCACTGATATTTATTAGCATTCAGGAAGTACAATAACCTTTTAAGATGACAGTAATAATAATGATGATAAAGCGTAAAGTATTGACATAAAAATTTTCGGCATTGCAATTGCTTAGCACTGTTCAAAACTGATTAGTTCAATTATGTAATGTGATCACTAGTCTCACTGATATCACTGCAGATATTGTTGTGAACTTACATCGATTGAGTGGTTATCGATAATCAAGAGGCGGTGTTTCACCTTTAGGGATTTTCACCACCACAATATCAAGTTGTTAGATGAGCATAATGTGCGTCGCCCACCGTGCACATGGTCCGGGGTTCGATCTCCGGCCGACGCACTCCTTTACCTCGCTAAGCCAGAAATAAAGCTGGTAAAGGGGAAAAGGTTGGGCATGAGGCTAGCAACCTCGTCCTGTAAAAATAAACACTGCTACAGAAACCTCAAGCCTCTAGCTTGAAGCCCTATGTTCCACTGGTAACGTGAAGGAATAAAAAAAAGAAGAGCATAATGCCATTTAGTCAATGGGTTTACAACCATCAGTTTAGCAGTTTTAATTTGAAATGTAGCTCACTTTGCACTTTCTCATAAGTAAGCAGCGGTTATAAGTGAATAAGCAGGGTAGTTGTTTTCCCAAATATTACAGATTAGTAATCAATAAATATATAATTTGATAACCAATGACAACTCATATTTCGGTCAACTTTCTAATTTGTTATATCAATAAACCATAGCCTCGAAATTATCCAATGGGGCATGGGTGCCTCGTAAAAAGGCCGGTTCAATACTGCATATGAACTCTATAAATGTTATCTTCATTTATGCATTCAATGGTGAGACAAATATGCAACCTTTCCTATCTAGACCACTCTTTCTTAGTATGAAAAGTAGAGGTACTTAGTATCAACGTTTCATATTTGTTTGTGCATGTTGTTGCGAACTAGTTTTGTAACAGCAGAAGGCAAGACACCGAAGCCAAGGGATATTTTCAAGTGATCAAACAGCTATTTGTATTTGCTTCTTCAACTA